TCTTAATGAATAGAATTATTTTTTCTAATGGTGCTTGTAAGTAGGATCACAAGTCTGCATCTTGTACAGCAATTAACCACTAAGAAGAACATATGCAGTGTATTATTTGTTGAAACTGTACTTTCGATTTGATTTGAAACTGTTTCATTGCTATATGTTTATCAATAAAACTTTGAAAAGAAAAAAAAAAGATAAATATTTTAGTACCCTGAAATAAAGAACATCCACAGGGGGCTGGGGAGATGGCTCAGTAGAAAAAGTGCTTCCCTCACAAGCACAAGGGCCTGAGTTCAATCCCCGGCTCCCCAGAAACAAAACAAAAAGAAAGAAAGAAAGAAAGAACATCCACAAAGTAAAAGGTAAAAATATGGAAACAGAACAAAACTAAGCTGACATGAAAAAAAGATTCACAAGTAGAGTGCAGATAATTCCACAACTGCTCTGGGTTTGTGGTGGAGATGTTGAAGCCTGTTCCCGAGGCTTCTTCCTCCTTCCCCACCGTGGCATCATACGTGGACACGCAGCCCACGTTCATGTCTCTGTACTACTAGGACCATGCACCAATCTTCACAGGAAGGTGTAAACACACACACACACACACACACACACACACACACAGCCAGGAGAAATCAGAAAAGCAGAGGTTACTAATGTGGCTTTGTGCTTCCTCTACCATGCATGCCCCAGGACAACTGCTGCTGTCTGCAGTCTTACACATAAAGCGTCCACATGACCGTGCTATGAACAGGCCTCAGCCATGGGTAGAAGTGGTCAAGTAAGAGCCAAAGGCAGGAGACTGTGAAGGGCCGTGCCCAGGCCACCCTCCGTGTGTGCCTCCGGTCCTACAAAGGCTGGTGAGGACTGTTGCTGTGTCATTTCCTTCCACGTGCCGAGCACTCTACAGTGCTAATGTCAGATCTGGCTTGCTCAAACATCCAGAAGTCCTTTGTTCTTAAGAGCCCTCAGACCTTCAGAGAACTTCCAAGTCCTCACTGTCTGGTGTTCACCATTCCACAGGACAAGAACTGAGATCTAAAGGATCAGGACCTGTCCAAAGCTACATAGTGGCTAGGAAACCAGTTAGGATTTATGTCTCGTTCAAGGATTTAGGACTAGCGCCTTTGATTACAGCCAAGAGCAGAGCAATTGCACCGGTGTGGTAGTGCGCACCTAAATCCCAGCGCCCTGGGAGGCTGGGGCAGGAGGATTACAAATTTGAGCCAAGCCTGGCCAACTTGGTGAGAGTTTGTCTCAGGATAAAAAATTTGGGGTTGCGCATGTAGCTTAGCACAGAGGTCTTGGGTTCAATCTCCATTAGCACACACATATACACAAAGTAAGAAAAATGGAAATTGAGTGCTTATTTCATTATTATAGCCATAGTTTTTCCTGGTAAAGGCCAGAATATTTAAATTAGAAACCATGAAGTAGTAGAATGTGTGGTCCCTTATAACTAGCTTTTTTTTTTTTTAACCATTAGAGTTTATTAAGTTCATTCAAATTATACTCTGATTAAATTACAATAATCTGTTCAATTCCCCGCCTCTTTCCACTCCCATCACTTAGTCCAAGATACTTAAAACGTTTACTTAATGAATGGAAGACAATCATGTTCAAGAGATTAGTGAACAAGACATACACAGAGCTTTCTGCTCAGGGAGAGCTGCAGTTTCAGTACGTGGGAGGCTGAGAGTATTATGGGGTGTTGCAGGGCTCAGAGCAGAACCCAGCCCAATGCGCTCTGCAAAAGCAGACTTAGGCAGGAGGCGGGGAAGGGGCCTGAGGAGAGAATGTGCGCCAGGAGCTGACATGTTTTCCTTTGTCCTGGGATGAGAACGTGAGGTGTTCTAAGAAGAGAAGCTTGATGCTGCTTGGACTGGAGTGTGTGGAGAGAAAATTTGTTGGAGGAAAAACAACCTCTTGGACCCCAGCTAAGGAACTGGGACTTGATCCCAAGGCATGAAGCAAGCTTTGGTAAGTCACATTTGCTTTTCTTGCTGTGGACTGGGTCTCAGCTTCAGAGTAGCCTCCACAGAGCAAGCACAAGCTTGGATTGAGGCAGCTTTGAGGTCAAACAGGGAATGTTCTTCTAATCCAGTAACAGCTTCAATCCTCAGAGCAGCATAACAGTTTATTTAAGAGCCACCCCTTGTTTGCAGAAGAGTGTCAAAGTAAAATCATTCTGGGTCTGATATCCTGGGTGATCAAATGATCCATAGGCTAAATAGGCACTGAGTGTCTACAATATTCTGGAAGAATTTTTATTGCAAACAGAAAAATGTGTATCAGTATTGTCTTGGTTATTTTGCTGTCATTGCTGAAACAAAATACCCAGAATGTACCATTAAGGAAAGAAAAGTTTGTTAGCTCACAGTTTGTGGCAGGTTTAGTCCATAATGAGCTGACTCCAAGGCAGGGTGGCATGGCACAAGGGCAGCAGTCTAAGGTGGGAGAAGACAGCAAAAGTGACAAGAGCAAAGAGGGAGGAGCAGGGAGAGCAGGGGGCTTCCCCTCCCTTATGCAGGATGCAGGCTGCCACCCCAGGGCCAGTGCAGCGCTCACACCCACAATCCCAACATGGGACCATGAATCAATTAAAAACTCTAGAAGCTTGCCCCATGACTGCATGAGGCTTTGGGGGACATCTAGGCACAAACCATAACACTCTGCCCTGTCCCTCAAAGACTCATGTACATTCCTTGATGCAAAGGGCTTTTAGTCCATCTCTAAGTGTTGTCAAAGTCCTCACCGTTTCAGCATTGCTTCCAAGTCCCAAGTCTCCTCTGCGACGTAAGGCAAACTCAGCTGTGAGCCCCTGTACAAATGAAACATTAAACTTCCAACATTCTACAGCATAAAGATAAACATTAATGGTAATTCCAAAAGGCACAAACAGGGATACAAAGCACTGGGACCAAAGCAAGTCGAAAACCCAGCAGGACAAACATCAAGTCCTGTAGTTCCATGTTCAACATCTGTGGCAATCTGTGGCAAATTGTGAGCTGTACGTGGCTCCACCACTGTGGCTCTTCTGTTGTTTGCAGCTCCCAGGGCTTCTGTCTTAGGCTCACTTTGCTCCCTCCTGGCTGCTTTTGCTGTCTTCTGCCACCATAAACTCTTGCCCTCTGCCATGTGTCACCCTGCCTTGTAGCCAGCCGAGTGTGGACTGAAACTTCCATAAACTGTGAGCTAAATAAACCTTCCCTTAATTTTGGGTGTCAGCTATTTTGTCCCAGCAACACGAAAAAAGTAACCAAGACAAGTATTGAGAAAAACACTGTGAGATGTACACGTATATCACATAGAAAGAAGCTAATGACATGAGACACAGACTCTTCCCTCTTGGGAAAAGTAGGATCAAGAAGACACAGACTTCGGGGTCTCACGTCCCCAGGATTTGTCCTATGTGGGCATTGCTTTTGTGAATGCTTGTGTTGCTTCTAATGAAAGCTTAAGGTGCACACAGCACTCTTGTAGCTGGGGAGCGTGTTAAGGAGTTCTGACCCAGAGACACATGACTACTCACTCTTAAGAACAGGAATTTATTTCACATCATTGAAACTTCAAGCATCATTACTGGCCTTCATATGAGTTGTCTTTTGAGTTATACATAATTTCAAAAGAGGTAGAGATTAGAAGAACAGAAAGGTATCAGATAATACTACCTGGCACTTATTATAGACCTGCAAATTCACTTTTGGCATTAGCATCTTCTCACTTAACATTGCTCTCTTGAGGATTAGAGAAAAATATGGAACTCTGTTACCCTTTCAGAATTAAGTTATTCCAAAGTAATTTAAATATGTGTAGCAAGAGAGGAGTTATTAAATGCAAGGTATATTCTCCGTTTTAAAAAAAAGGATGTGTGTATTTTAAATAAGACTTATAAAAAAATCTCCTCTAGAATTTTGGATTCATTGCTGGCTCTTTGGAAAATAGCTTTCTGGGTTTGGTTCACAGCTCTGAAGTCTTCCCATGGGGGGCCATCCATGTCCTGCCTCCTGGGGACAGAGGTCAAGGCACAAGCCAGCTCAGTCCATCTTCCACAGCTTCCTGACCTTCACATCTTGGTCTGTGACTCCAACATGGGATGCAGATCATTCTTTCCCGCATTCTTTTTCTTTTCTTCCTCATCAAACTGAGCTTCAATCTCTGCTGGATTCACGTAAGTATAGAATCGAGCCATGATGGAAAATATGATGCAGACAACCAGAAGCAAGGCAGCAAAGAGAACGTACTCAGCCCACTTTGAAGGAATCAGAGATGGAATAAGAAAAAAAAATCATATTAGTGGATATATTACATGTACATTTTCTTGGTATATCTAGGTGCAAGGTGCTTATTTATTTATTTATTTATTTTTGGCCAGCTCAGCCCACCCTAGGGGTTGGGCTAGTGAGGCATGTGGTGCTGGGGATTGAAACGTGGTCCTTATGCTTTGCCGCCTAAGCTTGCCTAAGCAGGCGCTTTAGACCACTGAGCTATCTCGCCAGCCCAAGGTGCTTTGAAATTAAGTTGTTTTGGAAAATTGACAGGCAAGGAGTAGAAGAGAGATTGGCTAGCTTTTCTCAATGCACGAGGAGCAGATAATATTTCCTAGCAGCTCAGAGGACAAAAACACAACATGAGTGGAGGATGAAAGAAAATTTCTGAAACACTCTAATCTTAAGACACATGGGTGACACTTGGAGGACAGAACCCAGAGAACACTGAGTGGTCCTTTGAGGGAAAAGAATGTGCTGGATCCCAGCAAGTTATCCCTGGTGACCCCCAAGCTCTGGAGCATGTGGCATTAGCATGTACCTTGTCGGGACCTGCCGTGGGACATGATGGACAGACAACTTGGAGGTAGACCTTGTATGCCAAAGTGATGAATTTAAGCGTTAGAAAAGCCCACCTTTTATTTTAGCTGGAAAAATTACCACCACTTCAGGAATGCTTTCACTTGAGGTATTATGAGAGTTTCTAGAAAATGTGCCTAGTTCGGGGCAAGTACGTCAGCTCCATTAAAGCGAGGAAGGATGATTCCTCTGATAGGAAACCGCAGGAGCCTGTGTGCACTGAACTCAGTCTGGTTATTTTGCTTGTCATTTTCCAACTGTCCAGCACCAGGATGAAATGAGAATCAGTGCGTTCTTAGCCACAGGGCTGCTGGTGACAGCCTGTCAAGTTGATCTGGCAACTTTATCCGACTGTTACCCAGATGACCCTGTGTTTCTAGATGGCAAGGGAGGGTCACAGTGATGGCCTTCAGTGCATAAGACAGAGGGACCCAGACTTCTACCACCGCTCACCCCGTACCTGCTCGCTGAAGCGGCCTGCCCCTGCCACGATGAGCACAATGATGTTGCCGACAGCCACTGTCAACAGCCATCCCGCCTGAAGCACCGACTTCATGTTGGAAGGAGCCTGGGGAAGCAAAGCGAGGTGAACCCCAGCCTAGTCTCCACCTCAGAGTGAACAATTCACTTCACGGAGCAGACTACCATCAGCTTTGTTTCAGTATGAGAAGGTTCTCCCTTGAGCAGCCCAAATCCCAAGCCCTCCCGCTGCTCAGCATCCTGGACTCGATCACCAGCAGAGTGGTCCTCTTCGGAAGCGGACAGATGGCCAGATGGCCAGACCTCGCCTGCCGCAGGAAAGTTTGTAAGCCCAGTCATCCCAACGCGTTTTCCCGCAGGAGGCTGCTCTCCAGGCTGCAAGCCTGTTCCAAGGCCTCCCTGCTGAGGTGCCAAAAACCCTCTTCAAATTCTCCTCCTCTTCACTTTTGTTAGATTTCAAGGTCACCACAGGAAGGGATTATCCAGTTCACAATGACCATCTTAACTACCATAATTAAACATACAAGAGTTGGGGCCAGGGAGAT